GACATTTTATGCTTACTTACCCACAGGTTCCTACTTATGCTGACGCATAAAAATATTTTTTTACAAGTACCAAATAAATTTAAGGATTAATTTTCCAAACAACTCCACATCTCCCTTAATAAGAGTTTTAATGGCTTACAGTATTATGTAATGACACAATGAGATTGCGAGTAAAATGGAGACGATAAACCTGTATGATGGTCATTCATAATAGAATATATTTATGGTAGCACTTTAAGTTAGGTCAAGTTTGGAGATCTGTTTTTGTATATTTGCTCCAATTTGCCTAAGGCGTCCGTGATGCTAGCCTCATTGCGATCCACGCAGGCAACACAAAACTCAGGATCATTTGAAATGATACGCTGACATTGATGACAAGTGGCGCAGCCGTCCACAGGGCAGATGTACATCTCCGATCCTGGCTCCCTGGTATCACGACAGATGACACAAGTTCCCTTGGTTAATCTCAACACTTTTGCTAGTTTGGGCGCTACCTCAGCAATCATGGATGGCTTGGAAAGCAGACGCACTTCGTGCTGCAGGCGATTTTCTTTGACACGTTGAACAAGTAAGTTTCTGTTCGTATTAAGATCCCTCATCCGATTAGCCAGCATTGTATTATACAAATGCACCTGCCTCCTTTGATGTGCCATGGGGTAGAAGAAACCCACAACAATATGACGTAAACGAAGCAAGTATCCTGAAAATATACCGAGCAGCAGTAATGTTGCCCATAAAATGCCAAACCGAAATCTCAAATCATGAGAAGAAAGTATGACTTTAGGTGCGCAGCCACTCAATTTATATGTAAGGTCGATGTTCATTAGATTAAGGAAACCGTCTAAAATGCCTTTTATCAGCTCTGCAGCAAAACCATCACCAGCGAGTAGTGTTGCAGCAGCTGCCGTGTTGGACTGCCCACTGCTGCCGCCCAACTTTAGATCACCTTGCGTAACTACATCAAGGACGTACATGAGACTGTGCAAGTAGTTGTCCGCAGCAAAAAGCATTGTCAAACCGATTCCAAGAATGGTCGACTTGATCACGGCCTTTATTGCCCGCACCCACTCTGCACCTGTATAGCCTATTTTGTGCCAAAAGACGGTTTTCCTTTCATGAGACTTCAGTGGCAGTAGGTACATTCGTGACTCATTTTTCCGTCTTTCGTCTATCCTTTCATAAACATCTCCAATGTATATGTTGTCGAAATCCATATCCTGAAGATATTTTGATATGTAACTCTGAGTCTTAAATAAGAGGCCAATAAACAACAATTTTAGTAAGGTGGAGAACAGAAGAACGATGGCGAAGACAGCTCGAGTAGCATCCAACGTTAGATAAGCCAGTTGTTCAATGGCATCCTCCGTGTCGTGG